AGTTCTCTGAGACTTCTTTTATAGAGATTATTTATAATTCAGATAACTGCTTCTGAGTGTCTGCAGTAGAGTTTGCAGAGATTAAAGTATATAAGTTTTTAGTTCTTTCAGTTATAACAGATGATTGCTGACTGACTGAGCTTGAAATGTAAGAATAAGTACTTATAGACAATTATTTAGATATTTACAGCTTGATATGATATGTACTGTTAACTACTAGAAGTATTCACAGTAGAAAGATAAAATGTAGAAATTAAATATATAATAGTATTCAAGCTGAGTTATGAATAGTATTCGCGAACTTCAGTCTATATAGTTGTGTGTAGTCAAGAGCTGCTAACTCTATTGATTACATGAGAGATAGAAATAGAGGTAAAGAATTCGCAAGAAGCAGGATTTCTTATATCTACACAGATCTGTCAGTATTCTGAGAGAAGATTGATTTTTGATAGATATCAGGTGTTTTCAATTATATTCAACTGTTATTAAATCTATAACAGTGAATATTCATTCTTGATTATAAGCTTATTAAGTGCTTGATAATTAATACATATTTATCACTCTTCACTTATCTTTTTCATAAATAGAACTGAAAAGTCTTACATACTTAATAAGAATTATATAAGACTATATTTTAGAAGGTCTGTGATCTGATACTTCTGTTCTTTGAGATGTGTTTGTGACAGAGAGTACACATTCTGATTGACTGATTTCATATCTCTCATGTTAATCTCATATACAAATTCTTATTTCAGTAGTAATTCTGATAAAAGATTTGTTTAAAAGATCTTTTCATACTTCTTCAGAAGCTTCTTCATATACTTCTTCTCTTATATATTCTTTATCTTGATTTTCTTCACTTTCAGATCTCATATAATATACAGAATACTTTCAGATGAGGTCTTATAAATCATTCTCTTTGCTTATTAATATGTAAGCAGATTTAACTCTTCTATATCAGAGATATGAAATGTTCTTCTTATATCAGTTAATAGAATTGTATGAATCATTTTCTTCTTATCAGTTAATCACATATGATATGTACATCATTGAATCTGTGAATTGAACCTTTGAAATTAATTAAGTTTAAGAATAAGATTATATTTCACATTCTGCAGCTCTCACACTCAAATATAGCAAGATCATTTTCTGAAGTGTAAGAAAACTCTTACTCTTACAGATGATATCAAATATTAGCTATCAGACAATCTTATATATCAGGGATTCTTCACTCAGTAAACCTCTTTCAGTCTTTAAATTATATAATTATTAATATATTATGTAGAAGCTTCTATATCTATTAATACTTTTACAGTTATCTCTCAATTCTTATTCAAGTGCTCTTTATACATTAACATTTCAGGTCTTAAGATATTGAGATAAGTGTCTACTTCATTCTCATCTGCATCTTATTCAGAAGCCTGCTTTCTCTTAATATTTATAGAATTCAGAGAGTTATCTAATACAGACATCTCTTTCACTTTAAAGACTTTTCATAGAATATTAGTGAGTGTCTCTGAGCTCACTGATTCTGCTAGTTTTTTAACTCTCTTACTTCTCTTAACTGTGTATACTATGTGTAATTCTTTGTATTATGATTCTGACATCTGCAGTTGAGACAAGCTTGATGCTTGTAATATCAAGATTTTCACTCAGAGAATTTCTTTTTTAGAGAATTTAATACTTTAGCAATGATATTCAGATCTAGATTCATTATATCTGAGTATGTAACTTGTATCATAGAAGTCTGATTACTTATTCTCTACTGAGATATACTTAATTACAGTATTTTCTATCATAGTTGACTTATTTATTTCTGTATAATAAGAATATTATATACTTTCTTCACTGTGTCTGACTGTGAGATTAAGTATTTTCATTTCACTCTCAACTCAGATATAAGATCATGAATAAAGATCTGTAAATAGAAAGATATTGAAAGCTCTTCATTCAATACAAGATAGTATAAACTGAAGTATATAAAGTATGATATAAAATTATTCACTTATCTACACTCAGTGAAGTATTTATAACACTTATTCTATATATTCACTTTCTCAAAGTTGTGTAAGATTTATTTGAAAAACTTATTTTATATTTATGAAAATGAATATTATTTCAGATCTGTAAGATTTATCTTTTCATCAGTTATTTATAATAATTTCACTTTTTTATATAGAAATACAGCAGATCTTAAGAGTTGTTGAAATTTCATTAACTATCTGTCTGTGAGTTCATATTCAATCTGATAATATGATTGCATCTGACTTAGTCAGCTGATTACAGTATCATTTTTTCAGTTATTATTAAAGCTTAAGAACTTCAGCAGATCTTTTAGCTTGATATATTTCATACTTGAATTCTTATCATGTGTAGCAGTCTCAGATGATGTGTACACTTCTGAAGAGATTATGAACAATTATGATAAGACTTTCATATTCAGTGTAATTATCTATCTATGTAAATATTCAATCTTCTGCTACAGATCTAAGACCTGGTTTTCTCTATTCTTATTAAAAATGATAATTATATTAGTAAAGCTCTTTATCATGAATGCTTAATCTGCAGTGAATGTCAATTGTTATTTAACTTCTATCTCAGTCTGTCACTATGTATGCAATACTTCGATCTTGTTTAGAATTCTTGTATATGTATAAAGCTTCAATTTCAGTTCATTGATTTCAGCTGCTTTTCTTACTACTTTAAGTAAACTCTCTGAGAGATTCTGCATATCTTCTGATTCAGATAGCAGAGAAGAGTGTTGTTATTTATATTAATTAAAGAAGATATTCATTTCAGTCATTTCTTGTTAATTGTATAATATCTATTATTATATTACTATATTATTATATCACTATATTATTATATCACTATCTGTTATTATTATACAACTCTGATAATAATCACTCTTTTTTTTATTCTTCTTTTAGATAAAGAGTGAACTTCTTTAAATCTGATTCACTGCTCTTATTCTCTTTCTCATATCTCATCTATTTATATATAGACTGACTGTGTGACTGTGTTTGAAACTAGAATCAGATTTTTTGATAGTCTTATTATTAATTCAACTGATCTCATTACACAGTTTTAACATTAAATAGTAGTTTCATACTGTCTCAGTGAGACTTACTGTCTAGTCTTATCACATTTTTCAAATAAAATCATGATTTTCACTTCTCAATTTAAATTATTTTTATTACTTTAAATGACTTTAAATCTCATTTAAGTGTTATCAAAAAGTGTTACTTTTTAAAAAATTAAAAATAGTCTAAAAAAAACCTTAAAATATCTAAAAATAGTAACTTTATATCAAGAATGAGACTAAATGAGATTAAATGAGATTACTTTCTTATTTTTTTCAAGTCATGATTCTATTTTAAAATCTTATATATAGTCACTTTGCATGTTTTTTTAATAACTAGTCTCAGCAGAATTCACATCAACAAATGTATGAGATCAGATTAAATGAGATTAAACATGAAATTCATAATCTTAGTAATCAGTCTATTTGTATATCATATATAATATTTGTCTGAGTGTGAAGTTTTCTCTCAATAAGTAAAGCAGTATTAATCAGATACTCTTTCACTCACTACTCTTTATACACTATCTTTTGAGGTATTTTTAGAATTATACTGACATGATAACTATGAATTGCTTTATAGATGAAATTATTATACTCTGAAGAAGTCTGTACTTCTTATCAGTTTTTAGACATGCTATCAGATGTGATTCAAAGGTTTCTTAAGTCAGTGTATAATTACAGATGTACACTGACTTCTTATATACTGTACACTAAATTAATTGATAGCTGCTATGATCTCTTTACATTTGTAAGCAAGTTCAGAAGTGACTGCGTTATTATCTGACAGTTGTACATTCTAGACTGACCGTGTAACCGTGTCTGAGACCAGGATCAGATTTTTTGATAGTCTCATTATCAATTCAACTGATCTCATTACACAGTTTTAATATTAGATAGTAGTCTCATACTGTCTCAGTGAGACTTACTGTCTACTCTTGTTACATTTTTCAAATGAGATTATGATTTTCATTTCTCAATTTAAATTATTTTTATTGCTTTAAATGACTTTAAATCTTATTTAAGTGTTATCAAAAAGTGTTACTTTTTAAAAAATTAAAAATAGTCTAAAAAAAACCTTAAAAATGTCTAAAAATAGTAACTTTATGTCAAGAATGAGACTAAATGAGATCAAATGAGATCACTTTCTCATTTTTTTCAAGTCATGATTTCATTTTAAAATCTGATATATAGTCACTTTGCATGTTTTTTTAATAGCCAGTTCCAGCGGGATTCATGTCAAGAAATGTATGAGATCAGACCAAATGAAATCAAATGTGAAATGCATGGTCCCGGCGGTCAGTCTAGTACATTCTTTCAAATCATAATACTGTGTATTATATAATAGTCTCAGAGTCAGATTGAAAGAGAAGTATAATTTAAATTAATTAAATATAAGATTCTTATTCTTAACTGAGACAGAAATTAAATACTTAATAGACTTTCTATCAGAAACTCAAGCAGTTATAAGAAAATATCTAAATATGAAGAGAAGAAAATTAATCAGATATAGTTTAAAACAGCTATATACTATCTTTTAATAATTTGTTTTATTATAATCTCTCTTTACTTTACTCTTTCTTTTCTATTCTTTTCTATCTACTTATTTAATATGTCTATCTTTAAGACTTTATTCTCTTTTCCTTTGTCATGATATTTTCAAATGATTTCAAAGTATCAGAAGATGTTAAAATACTGTAATTTGTAAAAAGTTTTTATATTCTGAGCTGGAATTTTCTGATTTTATATATCTGAAATTGATAAATGTATAATAGTTAACTCTATAGATATTAGAAAAACTCTGAGAACTTTTAGTTCTCAGGTAGATATTATAGTCTATGACTGCATACATCTATAATTGAAGAATAATAATAATAATAATAATGTATAGTTACTCTGGAGTCTGATGAGTGAGGGTGTCAGGTCACATATGATGTTCTGGCTTATTAATCCTTTCACTATATAACTTCTCACTAGCTAGCAACCTTTGAATCAAGCAAGCTTTACACCTTTCACATTATCCATGTATGAAACACATAACAAGTAAATAATTACACACTCTATTGTACACGGGATATCTAAAATATGGGCCTATACATGCAGATAGATAGAACTAGATACAAACGTATAGCATACGTTCATCGAACCCTCTCTCGAAACCACTCAAGTCCTCCTATCACTACTCTCCATCTTCCCCATCCAAATTCCCAATAATGACTTTTGGCCGTCCATCATCCTCCTCACCCCACCCATATGTGTTCCAGATCCGTTTCCAAGTCGGGATATGAACAGGCATCTCCTCTCCGCGAATCCACTCTGTCCCTTCACCTATCCGCTGTGCTCTCTCTTCATCCTCTGCGGGAAGATCAAATCTGCGCATCCGTGATGCAATGCGTGAATCCATGACGACATCATCTAGCCATTCTCGTTCTTTAATATCTGGATGTTCCTTTTGCTTTCGTACAGATTTAGGCCATTCTTGCTCCTCGCTCTCGAGGAGAGTTTGCTGTTCGTAATGTTTTGAGAGGAATTGATGGGAGGATGATAATGATGGTGAGGACGGAGAAGCGTCGTCAGTAGTCGCAGTGGCGGAGGCTGCAAATTCATAGTCTACGCTGTCATTATTCTCCGCATAAGGTCGGGTTGATGCAGCGAGGACGATAGTAGCGACGTCCCGCCCTATGGCGTCGGCGAGATATCGTTGGGTGAGGAAGCGGTATATGCGAATAGGGGTATTGAGGAAACCTAGAATATGGGGGAATGCGACGGGAGATGCGTCGATTTCCTGCGGGATTGACGGCGCGAGTTGTTGAGAGGGGTAGGCAGCAGGGAAGATATATGCGGGCGTAGGGCCGGACGGTTTCTTCTCTTCCTTTTTCTTTTCTTCTGGTGTCTTTTCCGGTGTAGGTTCTGCTTCTTTATTCTCCTGTGGCTGTTCTGAACACGTGGGAGAGCCGTCTTCTCTGTTAGCTGGCGGAGAAGCAGCATTTATGGGCGATGGCTCTGGATTGGGAGAGGCTTCGGGTTCAGGGGCGGGTGCATCCATTGGTCCTAACCACCCTTCGTGAATACCGCGGATATATTCCTTCCATGTATGACGACCGATCACCACATCTCCCTTGATTACAGGTTCGTCCTCAATACCAAAATTCTGTCGAATTTGTTGAAGGAAATTGTCTGCCTCGTCCTCCTCAATTGGCTGCCCTTCGCCCGCTTGCCGCCTTGTTTTCCTGATTCTGTTCGCAACAGCTGCTCGGATATCCCCTTCCCGTCGACCCTCCAGTACCTCATAGTCCAAGGCCCCAGCAACTAGAATGGGTTTTATATACTCCTTAAAGTATTCTCGCGCGCTCCTCAGCCCATCGCCCGGCGGGGCAGCTAGGAATATTGTAAGTTTTCTTCGAGCTTCATTGGCCCGCAGTGGTTCCTTAGCAATGTGCGCTACTAAATTGGACCACTTTTCTTGCGCTCTTCGTTTCTGTCTGCGGTCGTAGACCAGGGCCGTGGTAAATGACCCAGTGATAGACAGGAATATGAGCCAATTCCTCGAAGGCAACTTCAGTCGGATATTTGGTAGGCCTGTTTTCAACTATGTTAGTGCTGTATGAAAATACAAAACCAGAAAAGTTTACACACCGAGCATACGGAGAGCCGGATTCTGGGGCTTTGGAGGAGGCGGAGGTTTCGGGGCCGCTTTTTGCGATACCCCAGATGGAGCTGAAGTTGTTGGTTCCGCCATAATGCTCCTGAGAAGTACCAAAATCAGCGCAGTTATCTGATGTACATAGATATATATACATATAAATAGCACAAATCGCGGGTTTGCCCGCGAAGTCAACGCCGTGTTAGTTATATGCAGTCTCCTCCTTCACTCCCATGCGGGAAAAAGCTTCGGCGCTCATCACCGGAAATACTTTAATCCATCTACTGAATATCAAACGCGTCACTTCGCTTATTTGGCCAATGGAAGACAACAATTCCGGGCCGTGCTGACGTAATGTAGGTTGTTTACCGCGCTAAGCATCAACCGTAGCGGCAAATCGGGGCTTTAACCTCGAACATTGTCCACTCCATTCCCTCCCTCGCTACTCTCCCTTATTTGTCAATTCTCAGCTGTGCGATACCCCGGATTTGTTTGTTGTCTTTCGTTGCTGCACCTGTAGACGGACGGCCCCATTGACTTGAGACGCGGTCTTGCTGGCAAATTGGCTCGCGTCCAATCAAGAGTGCTAGCTTGGGTTTTCGTTCGCCTGCCAACAAAAACCCCCTACCCTACCTACCGCCCCTCATTCGGTTTCACATTGGCAGTACAACAAGTCATTCTTTCGATCATCTTCTACAAAATAACTTTCTGGGCCCTTTGAGCCTTCTATCAAGATGGAGCCAAATAACGGAAACAGCAATAACAACAATAATAGCAACCGACTTCATTTGAATTTCGGTTTCAATGATCGCCCGTACACTGCCTCCGCAAACAACAGGGCTTATCCAACCACACCTTCGACCTTCCCTCAGCCGATGTACCCCGGTGGCCAGGATTATGTCGATTCCCAGAGTCCTCACACGGCCTTCGGGCAAGGCTATTTCATGAACAATCCGTATGCCCCCCAGCAGCCGCATGCTCAGGGTCACCCCCAGGGGCAGCAGTACGGTCAACAAACCGTGCCTTCACCACATGCAGCCTACCAAACTGGTCCTGGGTATCAGGCAAATGATGCAACAAATGGTCTAATTCAGCAATTTTCGAACCAGGATTTGGGTGGCGCTCCTCCCAGGGCTGGAATGTTTGGCCGCAACCCGGCTCAAGGACAACGTCCACGGACTGCTGGGGCTCAGCCATCGCCTCAAGCCTCAGGATATGCTGGTCCACCAATGCCAACCCGTAGCCCTAAACCTACTGGGGAAGAGGAAGAATTGGTGAGATGTGTCGAGAAATACTCGGAGAATGTGCATAAACGTGGCAGAGCCGCGAAGGAACTTGTTAATGTTTTCTTTCGTGAGAACATCGAACGTGCCCGTGACCGTAACCTTCGGTGAGTTTCATAGGTTTTCGAAATGGCCATTCTCCCAACATAAGAGGGTCAATTTGTTTGCAACTAACAGAATATTTTTGCCTGTATAGAGCTGTCAATCTCGACAAGGTCTTGACGAACCCAAGTCTTACGGAGGCCCGCAAACGCCAAGAAGCGGAAACTGTCGCCAAAAAGGAGGCAAATTTTCTTCGCTTCATCCGGACAAGAGAGACGCCGTCCAATTTCCAAACTCTAAAAATCATTGGCAAGGGTGCTTTTGGGGAGGTCAAGCTGGTACAGCGAAAAACTGATGGCAAGATATATGCCCTGAAATCCTTGGTCAAAACCGAGATGTTTAGAAAGGATCAGCTTGCCCACGTACGGGCTGAGCGCGATATTCTCGCTGATTCAAAAGATAGTCCATGGCTTGTGAAGCTGCACGCATCCTTCCAGGACAAGGCTTACCTTTATTTACTTATGGAGTTTTTGCCTGGCGGTGATTTGATGACTATGCTTATTAAGTATGAAATCTTTTCTGAGGATATTACAAGATTCTATATGGCAGAAATAGTGATGGCTATAGAGGCGGTTCACAAGCTCGGGTTTCTTCACCGGTAAGTTTTCCTATAAAATTTCTCGCTGTTCAGGACCATAGGTGTCTCTCCTGTCTAAAAAACATGATTCTAACAATTGTTTGACAGTGATATCAAACCGGACAATATCCTCCTAGACCGTGGTGGACACATCAAGCTCACCGATTTTGGTCTGTCCACTGGTGGGAAAAAACAACATGACAATTCATATTACCAGCAGCTTCTTAAAAATACTTCTGCATCCAAAGATAAGAACCGGAATTCCGGCTTCTTCTCTGACGCTATCAACCTGACTGTGTCCAATCGTGGCCAGATCAATACCTGGAGAAAATCCCGTAGGGCTATGGCCTATTCGACTGTCGGAACCCCTGACTATATTGCACCCGAAATCTTCAATGGTCAGGGATACACATATTTGTGTGATTGGTGGTCTGTCGGTGCTATCATGTTCGAATGCTTGGTTGGATGGCCCCCATTTTGTGCCGAAGAGCCCACCGATACTTACCGGAAAATCGTAAACTGGCGCGAGTGTCTCTACTTCCCGGAAGAACTGACACTCTCGCATGATTCTGAACATTTAATAAGAAGGTAAACCCATTCTGTACGAACACCGCTTGGCAGATAAGATCAAGCTAAAAATATTTGACCAGCTTTCTATGCGACCCTGAACACCGCATTGGTCGAGAAGGCGGTGCTCAGTTCGGAGCTACACAAATCAAAAACCATCCATTCTTCCGCGGGGTGGTCTGGGATCAGCTTCGCAAGATTCGTGCGCCCTTCGAGCCCAAGCTTACTTCGAATGTCGATGTGTCATACTTCCCAATTGATGAGATCCCACAAGAGGACAACTCGGCCCAACTCCGTGCCCAGGCTCGCGCCATGCCAGAGGAACAGGAGGCTGAAATGAGCCTTCCGTTTATTGGGTATACATTCAAGGCCTTCAATGCCTTCCAAGCAAGCTAGATTACATGTATTTTTTTCATTTGTTCGAGAGTTTTATCTAAAACCAAATGAATGAATGAATGCTGATTGTCGTGTTAAATCTAACTGCTTGAGTTGCGCCTCGTTGCTTGCTGTTCTTTTTTTCTTTTTTCTTTTTCTTCTTTCTTTTCTCTGCAATTTTTCTGGTTGACACTCCTTCCAATCAGCGAAGCCTCCGAGATGCAAACCGAATACATGACCAACCAATTACGATCAAGGGCGTACTGCCCCTTCACGAACATGTTTTAATCTTACATTTTCTTATTTATCTCATCTGGGCTTTCCTGCTGCTTTTCACCAGATTTCCAACTGTCCGTATGAGGCTGATCTGTTCAGCGAGATATGGATATTTTGAACGAGCTGGGTGTTGGTCAATATCGGACATGACACATTTTGCGTGCCTTAAGCATCCTAGTAATGGAACTTTATTTTAACTGAGCTTGCATAGGTTAGATCACTAGCTCATTTGGAGCATATCATATTTGCTATGACAATACAGTGTGATTTCCTCTATATTGCACTCGCTCTGAACGAAACCATGGTCAGGGTATTCTAACTTACATCACAAGAGAACAGAGCATCTTCGCGATATCATGGAATAGAATAACGCAGCGCGCAAAGGTCATATTTGAATAAGTTTAGATAAATCACCCATATACGAATGTATTATTAGCCCATAGCCCCCATTATTTTAATGCAGGTATCGAAATCCCTTTGGCCAAACTCCGCGCAATACCATAGAACTCCATCGAGAAAATAACAGATAGAAAAGAACGCAGGCGAAAAGTGCCACGAAATGCAATGACTACATCAATCATCTTCGTACAGGTCCAAGACCCGGCACGCCAGAATACCGCTCCTCCCGTTCCGTCTTGAACATCACCTGTATCCAAAACTCCTTACTATCCTGATCAAACCAAGTCCAGAACTTCCCCTCACTCCGATCCACCTCCCTAGCTTGCAGCTTGAAACCGCATGTCTGATACGGCTCCGCCGCAACAAGCAAATATTGGAAATCCTTATCCGGTGGGTCATCAACCTTCTGCTCAAAGGCCGACATAAACCGCACTCGAGGTACTTCCCCCGGTGTGATTTCCTGATACTGCAGCTGGAACAGCAATCCATGCTGCCTCGTGAGCGGATCTCTCGTCTTGGTGATTTTATATCCCGGCCGGCCAATCTTGACTGTGTTGCGCTTCACCTGCACGCCCATCGCGGCGGGTAGGAGGGAGCCATCTTGCCCCTTGCCCTCCTTCTGTTCGCGAGCAGCGCGGCGGGCGAGGTTGGTTTGGTGCTTGCGACCCTGGGTGTGGGCAAGGTAGGAGCCGTCGTTTTGGTGGACAGTTAGACAGAGGCGGCATTCAAAGCTGCCTACATGGTTTTTGAAGAAGTAGGGGTCCTTTTCGAGGTCGATGTTTTCGAGCGCCAGTTTGCGGAGTCGTTCGCGCCGGTCAGCGTTCGTGGCGGAATGGGAGGCGACGCCTCCGCCTCCGAATTTGGAGCCTGCGCGGTTCTGTTGGGAGATAGTTAGAACATTGCTTGAGTTAGGAGTGGAGAAGAGAAGTTAAGATGCGTGTCTAAATACCTGATAATCCATGATAATGGGTTCCGGAGGGATGTGATATTAGCTTTGAGTTGAGATTGACCAGTCGAGCTCGGAGGCGCATCCAAAGGGTTGAATGTATTATCACGTGATAGTTTTGAACAGTTGCCAAGAGAAATCGCGGAATCACTGGCAAGGCGAACTTTCACTCCGCATAGTATAAATCTCATGCTTGGATGATGATAGATAGACTATGACTATGTATTCAGTAATTTTGAATTCATAGACTATTTCATTTCTTGAATATTATTCTGTAATACTTGACAATCAATTTCAGTTTTAAACTTTAGGAGGCACAACATGGGCGTCTCGATAGGCTCCAGGCTTTCATTCGATGGTGCACTTTGTACAGTTCGCTATATTGGCGAAGTCCAAGGGACGAAAGGGCAGTGGCTGGGTGTAGAGTGGGATGATTCTACCAGAGGCAAACATTCAGGAGAGCATCAAGGGGTGAAATATTTTCAATGTATGGTGTAGTTAACCGCCCTGTCTACCCCTCATACGACCTCCATCATCACTGAACATGGGGGCTTACAAGTTCATTTCCAGGCAAAAGCAAACATCCGACAGCAGGCTCTTTTATACGCCCAACGAGACTGGCTGATCGACCTCTGAGCTTCCTACAAGCCGCAAATGAAAAATATGTTTCAGAAATTGAAACTGTGCCCTCTGGCCATGGGAACCTACCATCGTCCACGCCGATTGAGATCAGCGGCAAAATCGTTGAAGAAGTAGGATTTGACAAAATCCGCAAACTACTTGCAGAACTTCAGGAGCTTCGGATTGTTCTTCTTGATGGCATGCGTGTTCATGGCGTATTAGCTGGCGAAGGAAGCCAAGAGGAATATGAAAATGAGCTTGAAAGCATTGCGAGGACTTGTCCGAAAATTGTTGAGCTGGATCTCAGCCGCAATGTCCTTCGAAAATGGGCTGATGTAGCAGCTATTTGTGGTCAGCTTAAACTTTTGAGGATCTTAAAACTAAAGTAGGGGAAAAATCAATACATTCTCCCAAGTCATCGACTTCGTGCTAAATTGTCTCATAGCGGGAATCGTTTTGATGAAATTGACGAAAGTGTAACACTTGACGGTATATCCGAGTTATCACTGGACGAAACGCTTATAGAATGGAAGGAGGTAAGATATGAATATTCTTTTAGCTAAAAACATGCTTAATGTCTCCTTCAGGCCGCCGCTGTATCGAAACGGTTTCCGTCTTTACGCTCGTTATCACTCTCGGGAAATGAGTTCACGTCTCTTTCCTATCCCATATCAGGCAGAATCCAGGAGCTTACATTGGAGTATAATGGCTTCGAATCTATTCATTCCATCCGGAATTTGACCTCTCTACCGGAGCTAAAACGGTTATCACTTCGTGGAAATAGGATTAGCAGGGTGGGATCTAAAAATCCGGCAATGATTGCACACGAAACTGAGGTCATTTTTTCACCAATTCTCACTTCTGTTGATATATCCTTTAATAAAATAAATTCCTGGAAATTTATCAACATGCTTCCTAAAGTGTTCCCTGGGCTCACTACTCTTCGAGTTTCCGATAATCCGCTCTACGACCAGCCGCCCGCGCCTTCGCGCATAACAAATATGCCCGAATATCCAATGACCGTCGATGAAGCATACATGCTCACCCTTGCCCACGTCTCTCAGCTCGAGACCCTAAACTACGGTACAATCACAGACCAGGATCGCAATAACGGAGAGTTATACTACCTCTCCCTGATCCGGAAAGAGCTAGCCGCATCGCCACAAAGTGAAGAAAAGCGCGTCCTAGAATCACACCCGCGATACAAAGAACTATGCGATATTTATGGAGAGGTCGAAATAAAGAGGGAGACAGACGGCTCTGGAAGCGGGATACACCCTCGATCTCTCGCCGCTCGACTCGTCACATTTAACTTCTACCTAGTTGACCACCAAAACCAAAAACCATTCTCACAGAAACCAGACGCGATCATTAGTCCTAAGTACAACACCGAAATTCCAAAATCGTTCGACGTTTACCGCATCAAAGCCATCGTCGCACGAAACTTCTCACTAACTCCGCTCCGCTTCAAACTAGTATGGGAAACAGACGAGTGGGACCCGATCGAAGAATCCAGGGCTGAAGACGATGAATGGGATAGCAGTGATGAGAGTGATGAACCCAGTCGACAACTCGAGAGTTCAGCCTTGAAACAAGAAGATGGCACGAGGCTCGTGCGGCGTGAGGAGGAGCTGGTAGACTCTACGAGAGAGGTTGGGTTCTGGTTTACGGACGAGACTCGACATGTTAAGGTGCGGGTTGAGTTATTCTAGATAGTCTGGCCGGCTCCGTCCGGCATGGACACAAATATAATTACCATCGCATTTGTTTACATTCACTGCATGTTGAGTTGGGGAAATGATTGGACATGTCTTTGCCCTTTGAATGCATACTGGAACACGGCTCCAGCTCCAGCTTAGCATCGAGAATATACGTAATTAATCGTACCTACGGATACCTTTCTTCGCTCTCCTAACTTTCAATTACAAGTTGAACCCCGTGCTCGCAAATGCCAAGGAACAATATTTTGTATTACATAAGCGATGATCTACCCAGCGTCACTCAGATACGGTGAGAGGGAAGCTTGTTTGTTGCATCTAGGTTATCTATTTTAATCTCCATACTAACGAGTGATTATCCCAACCCAGGCTCACTATGTCAGAATACTGGAAGTCCACGGTGAGCCCACATATCCTTCTTCTCCCCCCTCCCCCATCAAAAACTTCCCCTCCACCGCTCGCGCAAGTAAAAATAACCAAACCAAACCCTCCATTCCAGCCGAAATACTGGTGCAAGCACTGCAAAACCTACGTCCGAGACACGGCCTTCGAACGCACGCAGCACGAAGCCACAGGCAAACACCAGGGTAACCTCAAGCGCTTCCTCCGCGACATCCACCGCAACAACGAGCGCGACGAGCGAGAAAACCAGAAAGCGAGGAATGAAATACATCGCCTGAAGGGGGTTGTCTCCGGATCGCCCAAGACGGGAGATCAGCAACAACGCCCGCCTTGGAAACGCGGGCTAGGTGCTGGTTCAGCTACGGGTGCCAATGCAGAACCGAGCGCATCTCTCTCTGCAAATGCAGAGCAGCGGAAGCGTCAGCTGGCGCAGCTGGTGGAGATGGGAGTAGCTATTCCGGAGGAGTTTAGGGGGGATATGGCGCTGGCGGGGGATTGGAAAGTTGTTGAGACAACAGCGGGAAATAAAGACCGGGCGGAGGCAGATGCTGTGGCTGGGTTGAATGTCGGGGTCAGGAAAAGGAAGTTTGAAGTGCAGGAGGAGGAGGAGGCTGCGGGGGAGATAGTCATAAGGAAAGGTTGGGGGTCGACGACACGGGAGTTCCCTGGCAAGGAGAAGGAGGAGGATCTCGATGCGTTGTTGGAAAGGACGACGGAGTTGAAGAAGAAGAGACGGGAGACGGAGACGCCGGATGTTAAGGCGGAGGGGAAAGAAGATATCATTGATGGTGAGCATGAGGATGTCGCCAAGAAGGATACTCCTAGCCCTAATGATGGAGATATTCTACCGGTTAAAAAAGAGGAAGCGGAGGGTGGACCAACTATGGTTGGAACCAAATATGAGGGAGAGAAGGGTGTATCGAGGTCGGTTCGTGAGACTCCGAAGGAAACTGTTGAAGAAGCCGTCCCTGCTGTGGTTTTTAAGAAGCGCAGACCGAAGCACGCCAGGTGAATTGATTAATCGCCTAGATACGCAACATCGCTAGGCGTGCCACTATTTACTCGGATGAAATTGACATCCCTTCCTTGGTCAAAGCCTACCAATATACCTATGCGGTACGGTACATATAGGCAAAGGTACTCGAACTCGAGGACCGTGAAACGTGCCCACCGCGACTTGATTACCCGTTCCTGAGCTATACGACTCGAAAAGACGATCTGCGGTTTTACCAATGCAGAGCAGCCTTCATTTCTATGATGGTGAACTAATGAGGGTATCTGATACTTTGGAAATATATTAGCTCGTCCCCATTACTTGGAGGGGCTCTCTACCTGGGAAGTCTTAGGGTGCAAGCAAGAACTCCCGCCTTCTAGGTAGCGCCATCACGCATTTGTGAATGAATGATGAAGCAGTTAGGTCCACTGCAAAATTCTGCTAAGGCTGTATTAATACTATCTGCTATTTTGAGCTCCTCAAAAGCTCGCACCAAAACACTCCCAATATGTCCATTAAGAACCAGGATATATAAAATAAATTATATATAAATAACTGCTGTTTAAAGATGTAGCCAGATGGTTGTCCTTGTGTATAGAGAAAATCTGTTTCTGATATAACTGGCGCGTAAAGGTATTTTTACGACCACAGCACGGTGATATAAAAAATTTCCACCAAACCAAACCGCGACGGAGAACACGTCTATTCAAAAACCAGGCATCCATTCCAATAGATAAATCAGCAGTTGTTGACCACCTCCTTACTGTGTATATCCCATCTCCCATCACCCGTTGAAATCGTCGCTCTGCCTTGGCAATTGCCACTTGATTTTTTTGCGCTCGCGGCCAGCTAAATAACTTAGTTGCTGTAACTATCCATCGCCCGCCAGACTCGCAGCCACCACCGTTCGTCGCACTGGAAGAAGATCCCGCTGTGGACACAGAGCAGAAGAACGTCTGTGGTCAAAAGAAGCTCTCGGCTGGCTCACCTTTACTTCTTCTTCGCTTATCTAGGCCCTATTTTACCCCAGGTACGTTGGTCCATAACAGGCGAGAGGCTGCGGTGACTTGGCTTCTCGCTTGAGCTGCCCGTGCCTCTCTCCTCTGCCCCAATCAAATCGGCGTGTTTCGTTTCCCTCCGCTTCATTGTCCCGTTTTCTCTGCTATTCCTCCGTAGGGACTGTTGGGTCATTATTGGTGGTTTTCTCGTTGTTGTTCTTTTTTGCTGCCGATTTTAAATCATGTCAACGCTGCCTGTTGCCACGGGCGAGGCGCATTTCTCGCATTTTCGCGACCGCGAGCTTGCCTCTTGCGCCCATCGCTATAGCTTGCATCATAAACTTACTGATGGCTGCCCCAATTCGAGCCCTAGATGATGCCTTTTCTCGTCTGCTTGATGTCTCGTTGGTTTTGTGTGTGATTTCTTCTTGTGGCGAGCCTGATTGCGATCGAATACTTTACGGCCAGCATTCAAAAAAAAGTGCTTCCCGCAGCATTCATCGCTGAGCATCCCAGGCGTTATCCGTCAGATACAATTACTCATTACTCATAGATTCATGTCGCGTTGCAATGCTCTAACTAATACATCGAGCTACAGTGTTTCGAGTCTAGGATCCCATGCGCTACATATTCATCGGATTTCGATGAGTCCGCCATCGTTTTCCCTCTCTCACCTTCCACCCTCCATTCGAGTCCTATCCTCCCGTTGAGATCAATGCGTGGTGCTATTGCCGCACTATAGGCTGTTGCGATCGCACCTGTCGTGACTAGACATACAACTGGGCTCCTCTACGGCAAGAGAGTGTTGTGTGCTTGCGGGTTCGGAGCAGAATGCCAGAGACTGTGCCACCGCCCACAGGGCCCTCAACAACGGACACGGCTCCCCAAAAAGAAGCAGAACCATCGCCAAATCATCATAACCCAGCTGCCGCAGTATCGGTGTCTTCTGTCACCAGCCAAAATGTCGCACCTACATCGAGTCCGCCCGTCAACTACTCGCCCTCAACCCAGCCGGCCCACGTACAACCTCCACCACCGCAGCCACCACAACAACAGCAGCATATGGATCCCGTACATCAGCTTCAGCATTACCAGCCTCCATCAGCGAATTCGCAGGCGACAATGAACCAGAACCAATTAAGCCTACCTCCAATTCAATCAATCGAGAACCATCCCCAAAGTCACCAGATTCCGCAGGCGCATTCGCAAACGTCCATCGGCTCTTCCGCAACCAATGCTCCAATGAACATGCCTCCACCGAATATCCCCCAATACTATACCATGGCTGGAACCATTCTCAGTCCTGATCTGTATCCAATGACGGGCGAACCAAACCGAGGTTTGTCAAGTGGTCGACACAAGAAGGAAGTAAAGCGACGGACGAAAACGGGTTGCCTTACCTGCAGGAAACGCCGAATTAAGGTAAGAGGAATAGCATTTAATTAACAGCATAGAGTTCTGCACAGATAATTATGTTGTAAAGTGTTGGCTCAGGGATCCTTTTTTTGTTGCGTTTTTTTATTTTGCTCCCCCGCATTCTGGCTGCATGGACGCTCGCTTAGAGCATCGCTTAACAAAAAAAGCTACATCACTCTCCCCTCATTGTCCGGCCTCTTCTTGAGAGCTTTGAAACTCCTTTAGCGAATATCCTTTTATTCACTTGACACGCTGTTTCTTGATTTGTTCTCAGCTTTCGTCCTGGTGCTCTGTTCTTGCTTTGTTTGTGAATCTCTCGCCGTTCACTGTCATCAAGCCCCTCTCTACTCTCTATACATTTATCCACGCTAACCGGAGCTCTCCTTAACTGTATACAGTGTGATGAGCGACATCCCGTTTGCAGGAATTGCGAAAAAAGCAAGCGTGATTGCCTTGGGTACGATCCGGTGTTCCGACCGCAGCCGGGCACTTCAGCCCTGCAGCCTGCCCCCTCTCAACCATCGGTACTAGTATCTCCTCAAGGCACCCCCGTGTATATCAGTGCTCAGAATTCCTTGTCCGGAGGGCAGTCCTTTGCGCATCCGCCCTTACCGACAGCAAGCCCATCATCTTCTCCTTCAGTACATCAGTTCGATTACGGAACTGCAATTGACCCTGCCTTGGAAGGAGTCGCGTCACACACCGGTACGCATCACACTAGCGAAGGGGGTCAAACGCCAGCTTCGATCATGTATGGGGCTGAGAACCTAGAATGTAATGTCCCTTCATGTCCCACCCAATTTCTCGTCTTGTACTAATTCTCATTCTTTGTATAGTAAAACCTATGAAGGTTGTAGATCTCCTCTCCGTACGAGGGTACCTCTCTCCACCACCAGAAATCACGACAATCCCTGCACCGCGAGTAGAAGAAATCAAGCTAGTCTACATCTCGTATGCCGTCGCTATTGACAAGTTCCTCGAATGCAACTGGTTCGAAACAAAGGGGATGACCCATCTCTTGGCAAATCCCCGCCTTTTATCATACTACTCTGCCCTCTTAGATGGCTTCAATGACCGCAATATCCACGACCCTGCCGTTTTGGCGCGCGTTGAGAGTCTCGAAGCCTCTGTCATCTGGGAAACATTAACATTAACCCGCGTCGCTCGTACCAAAGAACCAGACACGAACGGAAGTGGCACCACAACAAACACCACGGATGTCGAACTCCTATACGCTGTGAAGCGACTGGCCGTCTTCGAAGCCCTTGTAACCGGCACATACCTCGATACAAACCCAGTAAGCCTAGATAGTTACCCAGAATGTGACCCGGCACACAGACTCCCCGGCATCGGCAACCAGATAAAAGCCCGCGAGATTGATTTCTGGGAATCCGTCGGCCGCTACCTTACCATCCCTGAAGACGACCCGAATGCCCAAAAACGAAAAGAGGAAGCCCTGACCACGTCTCGCAGGCTGCTGGATACGTTTGAGAACCGCGATGTGATCTATTCCATCGCCATTGTGCGGCACATTGCTAAATTCCAGCCGCGAAAGCTGAAGCAGACGACCGCCAGTACGGATGAGAAGGATGCTGCAGCCAAGTTGTATGTTGCTGTTAGGTTCCTTGAGGATGAGAGCCATGGTAAGGGGACGAATCAGGTTATTAAACGGTTGTGTGGGATGGTTGTTAAGTATTGGGAGGATTCGCCGGGGGCGTCGTGATTATGTTATGATCATGGCTTCTTTTCCTCTTTTTCTCAAGTCAAACTATATGAAAATGGGCTATTCTCTCTTTTACTTTGGTTCTCGTCTCCTGTCCTAACTATAAATGAAATGGCTGGGTTCTATTTTCTTTCGTCGCACTTTGTGCGGTATATCATTTGCTTATTTTATTCCTGCCAAAATACCTACTGTCTTATTCCACTATCTTATATTGTTATTTGTTTTTATACGTCCTGTATAACAGAAAGCAATTGTTTTAACACAAATGTTTTAGTGATGAATATTTGATTCTGATTCCGCCCCTTTTTTTTACTTCTCCCTTGCCTTCCATTTCCCTGGTACGCACATACTTTATTTCGTTGTGGGTTTCTCCATCAAATTCTACCCCATCTTCCACCCTTCCCTCCTCTCTCGATCCATTTTTACTTTTTGGTTAATCAAGACTAAAAACAAGCATGGCAGCAAAAGCGGGCCTTCTTCTTTTTGTGTTTGTTGTCTTTCTTTTCTTCTTGGAGACTAATGTGTAGCGAATGGGAAGGCCAGGGCCGGACTGGCACTGGACCTGGACCTATCTGCCTCCATTCTCTCTCTTCTGCAATATCGATTTTTATTTTATAAATATATTATTATTACCTTTTGGCTTAATAGCAATTGGTAGACCTAGATATGTTTACTGTCCCAGTTACGGCGCGCGGACGGAATATGTAAGGATTGGTTTGACGGAATCTTTCACCGTGTCGGTTCGCGATGTTTACTCATACTCACAACAGCTAGTCATTTTCCATGGCCTATTTTTAATTTTTGGACTGCACAATAGGAAGAAAAGATGTGGTGGAGAATCAGAAAATGGCTGTGATGTATAGAAGTTTGAAGTTTCTTTTTCTTTTTCTTTATGTTCTTTTATTTTCTTTTTTGTTTTCTTCTCTTTTCTTTTGTTTTTTTCCAGCGCAGTCGGCGCGAACACACAAAAAGAGCATTGGGCAACAATTATGCATATGCACATAACACGTCCGTGCATGCGTGGTGTACGTACGATTGCCGTTGTATATCTAGACATAAATTTACTAATAAGATAAAAAGCAGCCTTTCCACCCTTTTTCTCGCATAGTTAGCGAAACCGCCCCCGATTTCTAGTTGCATATTTTTTGCTTTTTCGGTCCCCTCACACATTTTTTTACTTAAAGCCACATATTTCCAGTGTATACATATGCTCCGCATAGGTGTGAATGTTTATCTAAGAACAAAAAGGAAAGAAAAAAAGGTGTAAGGGATAATAAACGGTTGAAAAAATATAAGTTTAAAGGGGAAAAAATGCCGAATCTCACAACCACATCTCCGCTTGTTCGGGAACTGGAGATTTCAACTTCCCCTTTTCAATGGCTAGGCGCACATTGTCGATCGCCCATTCCTCCATGGCAGTTTGGGTCTATTATATACAAAATTGGAGTCAGTAACCGCGGCCCCCTAGTGTGTGGAGAGGGGGGAGAGGAGAGGGGGTCGGAATTTCGGTAACCTACCTCGACGGTGTAGGTGCCCATATGTGGCACAAGCATGACATTCGGGTTGCGCAAGAGGCCCGGGTGCACGTTGGGCTCGTCCTCGAACACATCTAGACCGACGGAGAGCACCTTGCCACTGTCCAGCGCTTGGACCATGGCATCTTCATCAATGACGGCGCCGCGGGCGGTGTTGACGACCACGACGCCTTGTTTCATTTTGGCGAATTCGGCGTGGCTGATTATGTGGCGGGTGGTGCTCTGGGGAGGAATTAGCAAAGGAGGAAGAACCTAATCTGTATATGTGTTTGTCCAAAGGGCGGGAATAAAAGTGGTTGATATTGTTGGGAAGCACAGATGGGGCACAATGGCGGGTTGGAATTCAACCCAACAAGAGGAGGGAAAAGAAAGGAAAAGAAAGAAAAGAAAAGAGACGTACATTCAGTGGTAAATTCAAACTGATCACATCGCTCCTTCTCAATAATTCATCGAAGGATACGTACTCCGCGCCGTCGGCAAGCTCATCACTCAATTTTCTCCGGTTATGGTAGATAATCTTCATTCCGAAGGCTTCAGCCTTCTTTTTCAAATTCCGGCCGATCCCTCCCATGCCTAGGATTCCGAGAATTTTTCCTTGCGGATCATGGCCTAGCTTTGGGACTGGCTGGCCTTTCCATTTTCCTTCTCGCAGGGCCAACATGCTCGTGTTGAAGTTGCGCAGGGTCCCAATTATCAGGAACATGTTTACATCTGCGGTTGCGTCGTCGACGGCTGTTGGAACATTGGAGACCAGTAAAGGTGGCGAGCGCGCGCTGCAGGCATGAACGTCGATTTGGTCATATCCAGCTCCTGGGAGACATTGTCAATATAGTGTGTCCAGAATGAGAAAAAGCGAGGCCATATTGGATCAAAGATAATCACTATCTGACGGGAGAAACATGCGCGCATATTGCAAAAGTGATGAAAATGCGCAGATCATACCGCAATGTGCAAGATATCTCAGCGACTTGGGCAGCACATTGACCAATTCCTCATCAATGAGACCTGTGATGCTCGACGACCCAAAAGTCCGATAAGCCACGAGGACGCCATCGAACTTGCCGCTGCGGCATTCCTGGATGAATTCTGCGCGATTGGTAGCCTTTGTCTCGACGAGTTCTGCAATATCTGCCAGACTTGCCCAGGTCGAATGGGCACTTTGCAGTGATAAACATAAAGGCAGAACAAATCAGCATAGTCCCAAAGAAACACATACGCGGCGACACGCAACATGGGGCTAAATCCTAAGTCTCAAAAGGCGGAGGCTTTGTGTTTGAAAAAGAGGTTTGGGAAATGAGGAACAATGGCGGCTCAATTGAGGTAAAAGTATACCATCATAAACATGTCTAACACCGTAATTTTCTGCAAAAATGTAGGCATAGATAGCACCGATTGTCCATTATGGGGATGGGAGGAGGGGCCGCGAATAACGGGAGGATGGGGCACAAAGACTCACTGGTCTATCTCGCCGAGAAGTAGCGCCTTGGGCTTGCTACTGGAACCCATAATAGCGGATTGCGTTACTTAGAGCTTGCTTCTATCTTCGATCTGTTAGAAATTGTCTATCGTGGTATGAACATAGGGATGTTGTGAGGAGAAGACAAATTAACGCACTGGTCTTATCTAGTAGCTATGCAAGTTCAACTGGGCTTGACACCCGAGTGAATCTGCAACCGCCAGCAATTATATATAAATAGAGACGCCTCAAATGACTGAACAGAAACGGGATCTGGTGGAATTGGGCCGTGTATGGTCGGGGCGCAGGTATTTAGAGGAGACAGAGAAGTTCAGAGAGCAGCGTAGCCTACAAGGTGTCTTTGTATAAACTTTATACAAGCGATATTTAACTCGGCTACACGGGACTCGGGACGAAATATGCAAATAGAAAAAAAATAAAAAGAAAAAGAAAAGAGAAGAAAAGAGAAGAAAAGAGAAAAGAGAAAAGAAAAAGAAAAGGCGCGCAATTCTTTTCTTGCAGACGGCGGGTCTCGGGCATAACAAAATGTTGACCAAAGGTAAAACATACAGCAACAGGATCCCACAGTGCACGTTATGAGGGGCGTTGGGAGCGGAATGGGATGCCATCCATTCATTGCCTTGTACTCCGTAGTGGCGGATCAAGGCCCTGTATGATTATTGATGGGAGGTTCATCGCTGTGCATGGTATATACACTAGTTGATTTTTAAGGCAGTGAAAAAGCGGTTATTGGTACGGCGTAAGTTGTAACTAGACATTAAGGAACTAGCTACACTACTCGGCCGAATATGAGGACTTTTCAAAAGAAGGAATGGCTCGACATTGCGATGGGATGGGATAAGAGATAAGAAATGAGATGGATAGATATCTGGCCATGATACCGTCCGAATTCACGGGCGGGATGTTGTCGGCATGAAAGATATAAGAAGATCGATATAACTGACCCGTTTGATTCCCCGAATTAACCCTTCATACGTAAAATACACAGCAGAGCCCTCTTTTTAGCACATTGCCAATTCCCGTCGCCTAATGCACAGTAAATTATACAAGAGAAGTCAAAAAATGAGCAGATGGAGAAGGAAAGAAAACGCTATCCCAAGTATAGGAATCCAAATCGTTCACCCCTCTGTCAACACCCTTGTCCAATCAAACTTCTTCCACCGCTTCCTAAACCCATCAACTCTCTCATCACCTTCCTTCCGCCATCGTCCTTGCCGCTTGATCACATCCGGCTCCAGGTCCAGCATGCCCCCTATAACCTCCCGGGCAAATAAATCCCCACGGGGCCACCGATTGGCATCCTCAACGATATGGCCCAGCCCACCATCCAGCTCAAACCACACATGAAAATACGGCATCTCCTTCGCGATGGTGCGGCGGAACGCTAACTTCCCCATCCCCGCGCGTGCCTGTGCCAGCGTGTCGATCAGCTTCTTATGCTGCGTCCACTCCTCGTCGGCGGCGAGGATGGCTTCCTTGAAGAAGGCTGGCGAGGTCTCGCCAAGACTGTAAGGGAGAGGAACGACTTCCATGGCAGCGTGTCGGTGACGCTGCGGCTGTGCTGCGTTCTCGTAGAAGATTACATCCCGCCCTTGGTCGTGATACATGCGCGTTAGGCTCTTCATGAAGTTTCGGATCTCCTCCCATTCATCATCGTCGCATTCGAGGAGGTTTCTCCGGTGTTGGATCGGGACGATGCAGGCGCTTCCCTCGCTGAGCTCCGGCTCCGTAGGGAGAGTAAGATATACTCTGGTTGCCAATGACACGACAGGGGCAAGGGGAGGCGTTTCTGTGTCTTCGCGGTAGCAGAGTGGGCAGCTATCGAGGATGCGGTTCATCTTTTGGAATTCATTGATCGCTGTATTTTTGAGGTTAATTTCTGATTTTTGTACGCGTTTAGCCAGCTTCGCGGCATTTTCGTCCATGTATTCGAGGTCATTCTAGAAAGTGAAAAGCAGGAGGATTAGGACTCATATATCGGTTTTTTAAGAAGAAGGAAGCGTGGGACATGATGAAATACTCACATCGAATTTGGCATCTTTAGCAATCCTCTCCGCAAACCGTTGTCCCTCCCCTCCGGCTTGGCCACGAGTCCTACGCTCCTCTCGCACCATATCCTCAATTGTAATGTCTTCATTTTCCTCTACTTGACCTCTTTCCTTTCCTCTCTTGTTCTCAACTGGCCTAACTTCCGGCCTTTCACCTCCGGCGAGCAACCTATTTTCCATAACCCCAAGGACCACCACATCGGGATTTTTTCGATTCGCCATAGATTCCACTGCAGCGTTGTATTCCGCCTCGAGTTCTGCTGCATTCGGCGCCTTCCGTAGCTTTGCTTTCATTATCTGCGCTTTCAACCTATTTAGATCCGTAGAATTGAGTTGTTTAGTCTGCTGTGGGACTATGGGCTTGGGTTCAACAGATTGTCCTGGGTGCAACTGTAGATCACTTAGCTCCCCCTCGCCCCTCCGGACATCTCTGTCCTCTCTCTCCCTCAAACCACTCTGCAGCTTTCTCTCTTGGTAAAGTTCTCCGCTAGGCTTATCCTTACCAACATAGCCATTGCCATAAATCTGCCTCCTCTCCAGCTCAATCTCCTCCTCTCTCGCATCATCGAAAGAACGGAGATCCCCAAACCGCTCAATAGCAATATCCTCAATCCTGGCCCCCGTTTCTTTTGCCTGTCTATATACAGCTTTCAGCTTCGTCATCCGCCATTGGGAGCCAGCATCGCCAAACGTATAGTCCACCTCATGTTTAACCGGCTCCTCCATCCCTCGTTTATCAGTCTCAGGCTCCTCCTCTTCATTAATATCATGTAAATGGCGATTAAGCTCCCTCTCATGTAATCTAAGCTTGTAATCCACCTGGAGCATCCGCTTTGTGGGAGATTCCTGCTGTTGAGGCTTGGGCCGCTGAACGTAGTCTATATCCAGTGTGGAAGGAGCTTCCATCCACGAATCGCGCTGAAGTCCTTGCTCTTGTTTATGAATTGTTGGTGGAGCGGTATTTGATGCTGTTGGATCAGGTTCTTCACCCTTCCCACTCTCCTCGCGCCTTGATCTGTGTTTATGTGGACGCTCGCAATCCTCACCACTGTTGCTGCTGGAGCAGTGGGAGCGTTTGCGTCTGTGTCTGTCTTCATCCTCATTTTGGGAATTGCTGTGTCGGGACGAGTGATGACGGCTATGGTGATGGCTATGGTAATTGGAGGAGTGGCTATCTCTGTCTCTGTTTCTGTCACTGTCTCGATCTCTATGTTTGTCTCTAGATCTGTGCCTGTCGCGGTCCCTGTCACGGTCCCGATCCCGATCCCGGTGCTTCTCTCGATGCTTTTCCTTGCTTTTCTCGCGCTCCCTTTCCCTCTGACTTGCAGCCAGCTCCTTTTCGAAATCCTCCAATGTCATATCCTCTTATTTCCTTCTCTCTGGCTGGTCCAAATTGTGTGGATGGTTGGTATTTTGAAATGTCGAACGAGGTTTGTTGCCTCACAGCCAAAAAAGAGGTTGGGTTTGTCCTGAGCTCCCTGGAATGACGTTGTTCGATTTTTAAATATAAATAATAAGATTCAGGCCTGGCTCAATTTCTCCTCACAACAAAACAACCACTTTTTTTGTCTTCATCATAAATATTTAAACCCCCACGCTCAATTTTTGCTTCATCACCAATACAAAATCGATACTATTAAATATATCGTCACACTATTCCGCGCTTATATCAACATCAGCAATCTGCTGAGGAGAGACAGCGACCAACATGGCCCCCCCCGTTGCCGTCGTCTGCGTCGGCATGGCTGGTGAGAAACAACCCCCCTTCAGAGCAATAGAAACACTCAGGCGTCTCATAACAGGCTCCTCGTATGATCCTAACTATAATAAATCCCCAGGATCCGGTAAGACGACCTTTATGCAGCGTATAAATGCACATCTACACTCCAAACATAAACCTCCCTACGTCCTCAACCTCGATCCAGCCGTCCACGCCGTCCCCTTTGAAAGCAACATCGACATCCGTGATTCGATAAACTACAAAGAAGTCATGAAACAATACAATTTAGGCCCCAACGGCGGTATCCTCACGTCACTGAACCTATTCGCTACAAAAGTTGACCAGATAATATCGATATTGGAGAAGCGTGCCTTTCCCCCACCTCCCAACCCCAATTCTAACTCTGGGACCGATCCTTCAAAACTAAGCCAGACTCCACAAAAACCCATTGAACATATCCTCATTGACACACCGGGCCAGATTGAGGTGTTTGTCTGGAGCGCGTCGGGGAGTATTTTACTAGAGACATTGGCCTCTTCATTCCCGACAGTTATTGCATATGTGATTGATACCCCACGAACAAGCTCAACAAGTACATTTATGAGCAATATGCTGTACGCGTGCAGTATACTATACAAGACAAAACTGCCTATGATTCTCATCTTTAACAAAACAGATGTGAAGGACGCGGAGTTTGCAAAGGAGTGGATGTCAGATTTTGAAGCATTTCAGACAGCACTGCGTGAGGAGGAGGAGGCTGGTGCATTTGGTGGAGCTGAAGGAGGGGTGGGAGGCATGGGAGGTGGAAGTGGTTACATGGGCTCCTTTTTAAATAGTATGAGCTTGATGCTGGAGGAGTTTTATCAACATTTGAGTGTGGTTGGTGTCAGTGCTATGACAGGTGATGGGGTTGATGAGTTCTTTGAGGCAGTGGAGGAGAAGCGGAAGGAATTTGAGCGGGATTATAAACCTGAATTGGAAAAGAAGAGAAAGGAGAGGGAGATGGTGAAGGAGGAGAGGAGAGAGATTGAGCTGGGGAAATTGCTGAGGGATATGAATGTTTCTGGCTCTGGGAGGCATGAGGGGGTGGGTGGGAAGAAGCAAAGAGAGGAGCCAGGGACTATTTCAGAAGCAGAAGATGATGAGGATTCAGATGAGTATGAGGATGTGAAACCTGGTGAGGATGATTTTGTTCGAAGGGATGATGGTGGGCTTGAGGAGAGATATAAGCATGCTCTGGAAGAATCGGCCCCAGGTCAATCAGACCAGGAGCAGAGCTCTGCAAGATATCTACACTCAAGTAATATTGGATGATAGGGGTGATTTGGATTTGAATTATTTGATATATTGCACTCTTAATGGGTTCCTCTTGCCCTCTTCATCCACAGCTCCCGCTTAGCGGGGGATCTGTGCCTGGCATGTTTTCTTTTATGATTCTACATGCTTCAAATATGGTTGATATGCTCACTTTGTCTTCAAAATGGAAGATAAAAGCAACACTCAGTGTTGAATTTAACTGATGACTATGGACTAGTGTAAAGAAAATATTGTTAATTGTTTTTTCTTCACAATCTTCTTGAGGTTTTTTTTCGTCGGAGGCTCAGATAAGCTGGATGTAGCACGTACTGGAATTATACATAGATAGATATACAATTGAATTCTCCTTTCCTCCAAGCAACGTCATTAGTATTTAACTATTCTTACCTATTTCAAGTACGATGGTAGCTCTATTGTAGCTAATACATCAAATTCGCTATATGATGTCATAGTGTACTTTCACTTTTTGCAACAAAACTATCGCAGCCTTCATTGATTCCTGCTTCATTCTCAACCATCACTTCACGTTTGTATACAGACACTACAAATTACAATCCATGAAGAGACCTCTGAATGGTACCCCTGAGTTTCTGTGTGGAAAGTGAAAATAAAAAGTTTCATTACAATTTCAGCAGCAGTAAACCGAGATAATTAACATGTTGGGATAAACAACTCAACGTTAGATTCATTGCACTCACGATGGATGTATGTTGAATCAATTTACGGCAAGGGTAAACTACACTGAACCAACACTGACACCCTACAAATAACATCTATACAGGTTTTCTACGCATACACATACAGCACGGCGGCATGGCTAAGCCTGCAAGGCATCCCACTGGTCGCGACCCCCAAGATGATCATCATGATTCTGCTTGATGAAGCACGCCCGCCTTCGAGTAAACCCCCCACTCCGCCCTAGCATATCCCCCGCATCAAATAAAAGATGGAAAGGGGATAAAACTAAAAGATGGTTCACTAATCTATCAATCAGTGCTTGAAATCTACTTCGCCCGCTGCTTCGGCCTAAGCCTCCTGGCCATCACTGCCATCACCATCGTGCTCACCGGCTCAATTCCAATATCCTCATCCGCCTCCTACTCCGTCTCTGCGGAAGAAGACGACCCCAAGGCGCCCTACGCCGTCCCCACGATGCTCATGTCATCCATATTCCATGCCTCGTCGGCATTCTACACATATGCCTGGTACCATACAACAGGTCAGATGAGCTTTGCGCTGGCAATGGTGGTGTATGGCGGGCTGGCGTCAGTGGGGCTGTGGTGTTTGTTGTTTGCTAGTAGCGCTGGGAGAATTAGCAGGAGGACTGGGGCAGATAAGAGGACGTCCGGGTTCCCGTTTAAGAACGAGGAGGCGGATAAGAAGCGGGCGCGGAAGGTGTTGTAGGCGGCCCGGCTGGGCTTATGGATGCTTATGGGTGGATATGGAGGTTTGGAAAGATGCGCATGATTTTTCCCACTGTTATTAATATTTAATGATAGTCAACATGGTTATGTTATTTTTTGCCAATCCAGGCTTCAAAGAGCTGAGAGAACTGCTTCCCCTCAGCCTTAGTGTCTTTTGCCGTCATGAGCTGGAGTTTGTATACAAGCCCAGAGAAGCTGATCCCACTTCACGATGCCGTTGGTAGAATATCATCAAAGGATATATCAATTCTGCTGGGCCTCGTCGGCGTTTAGCTGACTTCTAACAGGCAGAACGGGAGAAAGGCAGGCTGGTTTTGTATTTACGCTTAATGTCAAACCGTACGGATTACAGACACATCAAGACACATAGACAAGAGGCATATTGTCTTCAGCAATGGCGCAATACGGAGTATAGAGCCTGGAATAGATCGCGTATCGTATCGGTATGGACATGGAATTCAAGCTTGTCCCTTTGACACTAAATAACTTAATATCTAACTTACCAAACTAACGAATTAAACTCCGCCTGTTCTCGTGCCGCTTCAACCTCCGCATTTTCCAGCAACAAAGCTCACCAATAAACCCCCCCGGGACAAGCCTCGAGTGTCCGCGCCTATTCGCACCCCGAGACACAACGGCTATCTGGTGAAGCTGCCATGGAGAACCAGGATGTCCAGCTGCAGGACAACCTGCGCCGCCTCGATGCCAGAGAGGACATCCAGGCGCTGCCGACAGGACCCGGTCTGACCTCGAGAATCAACAGCGACTTCGAAGCAGCAGCAAACGCTGCCGGCGGGTCTCAGCCGTTTAATGTGCTTCCGGCGGCGACGGTTGATATGCATCAGTCTTCCGTTGCGGGGCAAGCTGGTGAGAGCTCTTTTTTACTTCCGCCGCTCTATCTGTAGCTATGGAATGCTTGCGTATATGGGAAAACTACCAATCACCAATCCCGAAAGATAAAAATAAGGGAAAAGAAAATAAGAAAAGAGCCCGGCCAACAGAATAAGTTATTTATTCCTCTTGCTCCAGCTTCAAAATCTAACATATTGATTCTTCTAGAGACACTTCTCGACAACAATACAACCCCTCAGCCGGTACAGCAACAGCGCCCGCACCACCACAACAACGACCACCAGCAACAACAACCATCACAAACGCATCATGCGAATCACCATACTCCAAACAATGGCTTCCTCGAACACAGAAACAATGGCGCGGTCGATATGCTGCAGCATCTCCAGACCCCTCTCCCGCCTCATCTCCTAAACCAGTTCCACAGCACCCCGCCTCATATGGGCAGCGGCGCAAACGCTTCAGATCAATCGCCATCGTCCCCTACTTCTAGTAAAGGAGAGTCCTATTTTAAAAATATGAAACTGATCCCTAATCCGCCCGATCTGAAAAAATGGCGAGAGCGACTATTCAATGTTGAGGATACGATCGTCTTGAGTGAAGAAGAGTGCGTTGGGCAATGTTGCCCTCTACAACCTATTCGTCTCCATATCAAAAAGAACATTTGCTAACATCTATATATGTAAAACACATTTTTAGATTCCAAACCTACTTCCCCCACATCGACAACGTCTACTCTCACCGCTCTACCCAGAAATATAAACGCAAACTCTTCGTCTCTCACTACTGGGACTGCCGCCTCAAGGGCCGACCACCCGGAACCCCCAAGTCTCGCGACCCAAACAAAAAGAAGCGCAAGCGCACAGCCCGAGAGCGCGACCTTTGCGACGTCAAGATCAAAATCACAGAATATTTCCCTGGAGCCCTGACTACCCCACCGGGCTTGAGCCCATCAATCCTCTCCATCAATTCCCCACACCCCACAAGTACAACTACGGCGGCCGCTCCAGCTGGATCTGATATGCAGACTCCTGCTGGCACCACCT